CATCAAACCCCTTATTTCCCATTCCACCGCCACCCACAAACACCATGCCGCAACTTGATCTCACCTCAACAACCGGCATCGAGCAGTACCTCGCCAGCAAAGGCTACAAATGCGAATCCGTCGAACGCCTAGCAGAAGGCTTCTCAGGCTTCGTTTATCGAGCCAAATTGCATGAAGAGACACCCACCAGTCCGTCACCCTAAAGACGACACCAACTTCACCACTCTGTACTTGCTAACCAAGCCCAGAGCGCTCTTCAGTCATCGTGAAGCATGTCGAGGGCTATGCCGCAAGATGGCCAGAGTTCAAGATCGGGCAAGACAGAATGGTCAGAACCACAATGGCGAGTTAATTGCCCACTAGATCATGTTCCTGACTGTACCACGACTAGGACTTCGAGGCCAAAGCTCTGGTCTTTCTGGGACAGGCTCACCTGAGCGAAGCGCACCCTCTTGCACGCGTACCATCGCTGATCAGCGTCGACAAAGACAATCACATCTTAATAATGCAAGACATGGGCGATCTACCCTCGCTCAAATCATGGCTCCAAGCCACATCTCCCGCGGATCAAATCACGTCCATTGGCCGTACACTCGGCACTTATCTCGCCAACCTCCACAACAATGCGGCAGTCGAGTCCTGGCTTGATGGGAACTCCAGCTCTAATGTCGTGGGCAGGAATCTCTCCAGTTCTGTTTATTTTGGCCGCCTTCCCGCGGCGGCGGCAATTTACGGCTACACTGACCCGTGGATCGCTGCTGCGGCAAAGGCAGCAGAGGTTGAAGTACTCACTGCTAACGAAGTGTGGACGATTGGAGATTTCTGGACTGGCAATGTGCTTGTCTCATCACCAGACGATCAGAGCGTGCCAAAGTTGACGGTGCTCGATTTCGAATTGGCCAAACCGGGCACGGCGGCGTTCGATGTCGGGCAGATGGGAGCGGAAATGCTGTGTCTTGCACATTTTCGCTGTCCGGATCAAGGCCACCTGCTACTCCAGACTTTCTTCGGTGCGTACAAGGCGGAGAGGAAGACCCGTGTAGACGCCGCGGCCGTGGCAGTCAGGATCGGAGCTCACTTGTTCACCATCATGCCTAGAGCGTGGACGGCAGAGTACGGCGAAGAGAAAGTGGGGCTTGCCCTTCAGCAGGGCCTTGAGCTTTTGAAGATCGGGTGGAAAAGGGACGAGGCTGCTTTGAGGAAATCGATCGTTGGCGTCTTGATAGATTAGAGTTTCGTCGTGATCGATTGACTCGGGCGGGTAGTTTCCGTTTGGGTTTGTCAGTTCGACATGCGCCGGGTTATGGCCTACTAGGACGGTCGTACAAGAACTATATTTCAGCACTCAAAAGATCCGGCGCGCCGCTCCAAGTCGTTGGCATCAGTCGCCAGAGTCTCCGCGCTCCTGCGAGGTGAACCGAAACCGCTCGTCTGGTAATCGCTCGAATCACGCCTGGCTTCGTCTGACTCGTCGATGAAAGGTTGGTGGGATTCGTGGGCACTATGCTCGTGAGGAAGGCCAGCTCCGGCTACATGGAGACCGATTGGACCTCCAGGTAGCGAAAGGCTGTGATGGTGATGGTCGCAGTGGGTGCAAGCATGATGCGGGCTGGAGCCCCATGAGATGACGAGTTTGGGGAATTCGACATGGTGCATGGAGATGACGCCGAGGTAGGAATGGATTACACTGCGGTGGGGGACGATTAGGATGAGTTCATTAGGCGGGAGAGGGTATGGGCATACAAGTTGAGCATCATCGTGGACGTCCCATAAGTGCCTAGCATCAGTGTGCCGTCATCGCTGCTCCAGCTTTTCTTTCGAAGAGACACAATGCTGCAGGCAAGGAAACACAGGTTGTCAGTCGTTCGTTCGAGGAGAATGAGATGTAGCGTTGAAAGCAACGTACCTGGGCACCAAAATTACGAACAACAAGACAGCCAGCATGAGGTCTATTCCCGCCTTTGTCCTGGGAACCTTGAGCATTCCGGCGAAAATGAGGGTCCCCGTCGTAGCGGAGAAGAACATTGGCGCTATTCCAATAGCTGGTAGAGATCTCTCGGTGATCGCTCCGTGAGGGAGAAGCGTGGCCACGGCGATTAAGAAGGCGAGGATGGTTATTGCGCGCAGTTGACGGTATTCCTCTTCGGGGCGCTGCTTGAAGTCGGGGACATTCATGGCCGCGCGTGGAGGCCCAATGGCAGGATGATGAGACGATTCCTCGCCCGTAGCTAGCGTAGTCAGTGGACTGTGGCGGTGATGCCCTTCGTGAGACCGCTGGCGTTGTACAAGTCTCGAAGCCGATGATGAGGCATAGACGGATCCAAGTTGAGTTTTGGAACTCTGACGCTTGGACAAGTACTGTACGACGAAGCCTATCTCAGATCGCGTAGTCAACAATGCTTGAAACTGCCCCTAAACCGCGGCTCATGAATCCTTCTGGAGGCTGGAGGCGGCGGCGGCAAACGGGACTTCGTGTTCTAATCCTTCGGTCTCGCACGGTCCAGGATTGGCCATCATCTGTCTTCTCTTAGGTGCCCTACACAGTAGTGGTACAGCAACAATGATGTGTTATGATTGGCATAATTGGGCAGAGATGGCACATATAGCAGATC